CAGCACAGCCATGTAGACAGAAACTATGTAGTCACAAGAGGACTAGTGTTTATTTTTCTCATCTCGCTATCCACAAGAGTGAGTACTTCCTAAAAGATTCAGACTTCCTGACCCTGATGTTTTTTAATGAAGATGAAAAATTAAGAAGGTTTCAGACTTAGCCTCTGAAAATCACCAAAGCTAACAAAGGAACTCATATGCTGTTTTATTCAAATTATATATTTTTCTTCTGCTAGGATCTCATAGACAATTTAATTACCATTTCCTTCATTTCTAGCAGTAATTGTACTCCTCCTGCTGGCCAAACAGATGCAATAACCACAGTCCATCTTTCTGGCAGTGTATCAATTACAAGAGCCGAGAATATTATGAAGCAATTTTCTGCTGTAACACCTAAAGCTGAAAGACTGTCTCTATTGAAATGGCTTCCTCCATTAGCTTTAAAGCTATCACCCTTACCTCGGTATACTTAATTAAACATGTTTGCATTTTTCTTACTTAACCCTTGAAAAATAAAACCAGAAGTGTTAATTCAGAAATAAATACTAACATGGAAACAGTGATCCCATCTGCATAATGCATTAATCAGTACTGTGATAAAATGATCATTTCACAATAGCATTAAAAGCAATTTTAATTCTACAGCTTCTGTGTTATGTACTATTTTATATCCAAAGAACAAAAATTAAGATAAAAGCACGCTGCCAAAAAATTCACAAGTATTTTTAATGAGCAGGAATAAGCTAATTCCAGATGGCCGTTTAGAAAAAAATTACCGAGTTTTTTGAACTGGTGCTAAACACTAGCCCCTGTCAATTGAGAAAATGTAAGCTCTTGGTTACAGCCAAAGAATTGTACTTCCATGAAAGGCAGAAGGTACTGCTGCCTCTGGAATGCTACGGTACTTCAGCTTTAATTGATACACAAAGACTAAAATGATCTTGCAGGATACTTTCCTAAAAAACCTAACTAATAGTAAGAAAATCTCACTGGTCCTGTTCATCTGATGTCAAAATCACATAATTCTGACAAATTACTCTGTGGCACAAAGTTATATGGCATCATATACTTGGCAACACTTAAAAAAAAAAAAATCAGCTTAATGGGGCTCTGATGCCATCTTCCAAGCAGAAGTACTGAGTAGACACACAAATAAATTATTCTTAACTTTCAGTACTTCAGTGTATGCCTGCAATCCTGCAGATGAAAAGCTGAGAAAGCTAAATACTAGTCAGTGTAATACTAGACTCAAAAAGGTCTGAACAGACCAGACCTACTGTGTCTACTAAATTTTTCTATACAGTGTAAACATACTTATCTCCCTGGAGCACAGAATGTTATACACTATAACACAGATCCAATTTTTCAAAAGGAAGAGTGTAATTTGAAGTGTCCATATGTGCAAATTGATAAAGCAAAAACACCCACAACTAAAACAGAACAAAGTGCTCCATTTTTTTCACCACGACTCTGTAAATTTAGGCATCCAAACACAGGAACATGATCCATTCTTCAGGCAACTACATTCAACTGGATTAAAATAATTATTGCATACGTATTCTGTCTCCTAACCTGTCCATCTTCTAAAGGGTAGATATTAAAAGTAGGCCTCTCCAAAAGACTTGAAATTAACCCAGTTAAACCATCAAGAATGAATTTTTTTATGTATTTGTTTTTTAAACTGTTATTATTAGTAACTATTTATTATTACCTCTTTAGAAGTTGTAAACTGTTTGAAGTAAACATGATTTCCCTTTTCCTCTCTTGCGCAGACCATCTCCAAGCAAATCATTTGGTTCCCTTTCATCCTGCTTCTAAAAAGCAAGGCTAACAAACAGAACTTGCATTCTTTATCTAAATGCAGTGTAAATACTTGTAAGTTAGAGCATTCAGGGGGCTCTCACAATAAAAAGCAAATATTCTACCATGGAATTACACTAATTAGAGAAGCACCGTCAAATTCAGAGAAACATTTTATCTTTGGAAAATAACACTCCTTCTAGAAGCCCTGCAATACCCAATACACTATTTGGATCAGTATCACCAAGAAGCCTTTGTGCTTGAAATCTGCAAACCCAGTGCACAGGAAGCCTTCAGAGGCCAAAAGCGTAAGATTACTCTATCCAGAAATATAGCAGGTTAACTGATTTATAAATTAAAAAGAAGTTTACAAAGCTACTGAAACTAGAAGCAAAGGCATTTACATTTAGTTACCTTTCAAGAACACTAACTTTCAAAAACCTAAAATATTATCAGTAAGAAACTTTACTTAAGACGACAGATTTCTTCACTAATACAGAAAGAATGCAATTTCAGATACCTTTTAACTTCAATGCAGCTACAACAAATCAAAATAGCTCCCTCAAATCTCACAATGCCTGTAAAACAAGGTGAGTATGAAAAGCTCATCTGCAACAAACTGGAAACAAAGTGAAAAATGTGAGTACTCCATTTTAAGTGACACATTTTGCAGGTCTGTCTCAGTTTACAAGGCAGTCTCTGTGAAAAGATTCTCCAATCAGACAGGAAATTATTCTCTTTTCCATAATTTCTAGAGTACCTTAAGCCATTTATATGATATATTCATATAGATGAAAAAAAAGAAACCAACTAAATTCCTTTAGAATAATAGTTATTTTAAGAAAGATTTGCAAAAATCCTCAACTTCAGTACATTCCATATAATAAAAAGTTGGTATCTATCAACTTGAATGTAACACTTCTATCAGTTCTAGATGATCCAAGGAGTACTCTCTTACTACATTTTTAGCTCTCCTTTGACACATCATCTTCACATATGCTTTCTTATGATGATCACATCCACTGCAGGCTGATATGGGAGCAAATTAAAAGCTTGGAAGGCTATGCCCCCTTCTTTTCCAGAAGTAGAATTGTTCAGGAAGTTTAATATTCTTATTTTATACCATTTAGGACACAAAATAATATAACAAACTTAAATTGCTCAACAAATGGAAAATGGGACTTGCCTTACCCATTGTGCGGTTGACACACTGGAGGGAAGGGAGGCCATCTAGAGGGACTTTGAAGGGCTGGAGGGGTGGGCCCAGACCAACCTCATGAAGTTCAACAAGGCCAACTGCAAGGTCCTGCACCTGGGTCAGGGCAATCCCAAGCACAGATACAGGCTGGGCCATGAGTGGATCAAGAGCAGCCCTGCGGAGTAGGACTTGGGGGTGTTGGTGGATGATAGGATTAACATGAGCCAACAGTGTGCACCTACAGCCCAGAAAGCTGACTGTATCCTGGGCAGCATCAAGAGAAGTGTGGCCAGCAGGTCAAGGGAGGTGATTCTGTCCCTCTACTTTGCTCTGGTGATACCCCACCTGGAATACTGCATCCAGCTCTGGAGCCCGCAACACGAGAAAGACATGGAGCTGTTGGAGCGAGTCCAGAGGAGGGCTACCAAGATGGTCAGAGGGTTGGAACACCTTTCCTACGAGTACAGCCTGAGAGAGTTGGGCTTGTTCAGCCTGGAAAAGAGACCTTGTAGCAGCCTTCCAGCACCTGGAGGGGGCCTACAAGAAGGCTGGGGAGGGACTTTTTACAAGGGCCTGCAGCAACAGGACAAGGGGTAATGGCTGGAAGCTGGGGGAGGGCGGGGTTTGACTAGATTCAAGGAAGAAGTTCTTCACCCTGAGGGTGGTGAGGCACTGGAACATGGCTGCCCCCTCCCTGGCAGTGTTCAAGGCCAGGTTAGATGAAGCCTTGAGCAAGGTGGTCAAGTGGGAGGTGTCCCTGCCGTGGCACCGGGGTTGGAACCAGGTGATCTTTGAGGTCCCTTCCAACCCAAACCATTCTATGGTTCTACGATTCTATGATACAACCAAAGGCCAGCCTCCAGCAGCCTGGAAAGATAGGTGTGGCATCACCAGCAGAGAGTACCCTGGGGCATCACATCAACATGGAATAAAAAAAATCTGCAGCACCTCAGTACTTGGAAAAAATCTCAATGAAATTGAGCGTACATTACCAATTTCTGGGATGGTCTCATGTCTCTTCATTTAGGACATCTGGAATGTTATCTTATTTTTAATACATTTTAAACTTGTTTTCTACCTTTTTCTCTTTAGTGTGCTTGTATTTGTCATAGTCCAGCACAAATACAAAGTCCATTTCAGAGTTTGGGTAGAAGTTTTCATGTTTCTTTACGAGCAAGATCTCACAACATTTTCTTCAAAAGAAAGAGTATCAGCTTTGCTATTATAGCACTTTCAAGCATCCAGCAACTTTCAAGAAAACCTCCTGAATATTCTGAACATGGCAGGTAACACATACAAAAATGCACCAGACATAGAGACTTCACAACTTCAATGCCATAACAGAAGACATTCCATAATTTTTTTACTCTATTCCAACCCATAAGTCCATTTTCTCTGTTTGTGTGTTCAACTGCGTTTTGCTGATGACAACATGTTGAAATATGGTAACGGCATATAGTCCAAGTAAAACAAATCAAACTTAATTCTCCCTTATCCCACATGACCTTTTCAAAGCAATGCAAAATACTGTTTCAAAACCAATGTACATTTTTCTGTTTTCAGAATGATTGTATGAGGTTTTATCTCATTTTTCTGGCAATATCAGCATTTTTAAATAGGGACTTAGGATAGATATACACTCTGCATAAATTTACTTTGGAGAAAGTAAAAAGAAATGTGAATACACTTTAAGTAGTTTCCTTGCTTCTTCCTGGCATTCTCTAACCAATTCTAAAGGAAGCTAACTGGTTCTGTCCTCCTTTCCTAGATTTCTAAGAAAACTAATGCTGTGTTTTTAACACATAGAAATCATATACCCTTTCAAAATGATATTTTATTACTGCCCATAAACCAGTTTTCTCACTTGATAACATACTACCTAGATGAACTCAATTCACTGTCAACAATTCAGCCAGCAGAAACACGTAGGAACTACACACCAAAAGAAATTACATTGCAGTACTAGTTATTTATTCACGTCATAGAGAAAACAGATTCTTACCCAGTTTTCTTTTTTCAGAGGCAAAAAGTAGTAGTAATGGCAGAAATCAAGTATCAGTGTATAGAAACTAAGGATCTGAGTGTAGAAACACAGCTGCAAAAACAGCCAATGATTGTCTTCACCAACACAATTATTAATCCTGCAGAGAAACAAAGTATATATATAAAGACAGAAATATAAAGACTTTACCATTGCAGTTATGATATTGTGAATAGGAGAAGTTATGATTAGTTATGGAGCAAACATAAGAACTACTGACTACTCACTCCATTCTCAATCAAAGCGATGGTCTCCACGTGAGAGATGGCAGTTACTGTAAAGAGTGGTTTTCTTACGCTGCCACTTAAAGTGTAGGTTGCATTACTGAGATCACTACTTAGAGCAGGAGACATATAGCAAAGATACTCCTACAATTTTAAGTAATACTCAAGTAACAACACTGGTTTTTAAAAGCCTGCAAAATTTCACAGTAATATGTACTATCTTCTGATAGTTAACACATTTCACTGGTTGTGAACCACAGAGAGTCAAAAAAATGGAAATGCGAATGAATGGTTTGAAATAAATGTGATCACAGTGTACCTCAATGACAAATAAGTATGATTTAGGAAGAAGCCTAAGACACAGAAGACAGAACAGGCATCTCTGTTCAGAAACTCCTGCACACTCCAACACAAGGAGTACAGGAATCACAAGGATTCTAGAAATATTAAGTACAAGATACAAAACCTTTGAAATCTAAGTCTCGTCTGCATCATAGAAGTTACGTTGATGCAATAAATGTGGTTGGGGTGCAATTTCACGCAAGCATTGGCACAGACATCAGTACCAAGCTAGGCCATAATGACAAAAGCACTATACTGGCACTAATTTCTGAAGCAGCAATTGACAAAAAGGGGTAGTCTGAAAAAGGTCTAATCAACATAGGAAAATTCTGTCCTCTGCAGTTCATCATTGACGTCTTGCTGGAAATGATACCTCAGAACTGCTGACAGAAATGTTTAAGCTACAAGCAATAAGCTCAAACAGAGAATTTTAGGCAGATTAGTTCATTTTGACCAAAACGAGTTAGAAAACACTAAAATAAGCAATTTCACTACAAAATCGGAGTGGCTAAGACAAGCGAGGAATGGTACAAGTCAATAACATTTTCTACTCAGCACAGCCATTGGGTAAGCTAAAAACCAAAAACTGTCTGAAACCATGACCTATTTTTATTATTATAAAGAGCATCCCCTCTTATGTTGAAATCATAATCTTGTATTTCAATCCAAGAAACATAAATATTGTTTAATTTCCTACAAAAAATATTTTTTTCCAGCACCAGAAACTAAATTGCTGCAACTGAAATAAATCTGCAATGCACAAATTAATTATGTTGAGACCAGTTTTAGGAGTAAAAATTCCAATTCTTGAAACAAATATTCCAAAACTATATGGCACATAATAATTTGACAATGATAAATTCTTACTGCAACAGTTCTTACTGTCAGTTTTACCTGTAGACATCAGAAAGTCCCAAAGCTCTTCTTCCCCTGCTTTAAATGCCTAATGATTAAGCACTACTGGGAAAGAAATGTGACAAATGAGCAATAGTCGAGACCATGAACTTTGAAGTGGTTCACTAAAGCAACAGTAGATTGTTAGAACAAATGTCCTGGTCTTACCACGGACAGTGGTGATCCATCCTCCTCACACAATGTCCACAACGACTGCAATGGTGCGAACGCTTTGGTCTCATCATATTGCATTTGTTACACAACTCCCAATATTCTCGTTCTACATGAAATATAAAGACACCTTAGAGAGATTTTAAACTCATTACAGCACACTCATGATAAATCTGTATGCTAGCAATTCAAAGAGAAAAACATTCTTACTATGAAATGAGAAGGGTAAGCAGCATATAAAAAACCTTTTTCCCACATTCACTTTAATTAAACTGGAAGATAATACTGCCACTCGGTGCCAGTTTTCTTCTCCAAAATCCTCTCTCTTCCTACACATTTCTAGTGATTTCTAGTAATTATTACAGCACAAAAGCTGTCATTCAAACAAGGAATACCATAATTCAATTATTTTCTTATATGTCTACTGTGAAAAAAACATATCTGCTAGACAAAACCATTGTACGATCTCCCTGACATTCCAAAACCTCCTGAGGAAATACTACTACTCAAATTCGTCAAAGATAACTAACTAAAATGAAGTACACAATAAACACTTCACAGCAGCATCTTCCATCTCAAAGCATTTTAAGACATGCATCTTTACATATAAGGCAACCAAAGGAAAGAAGATAGGCTTGTATTTAAAAATATACACTATTTTTGGGTGCCAAATGTGAGATTCTTTAAGCTGATCTCCAGAGATACTGAGTAGCTGAAACTACCAGGAGCTACTGTTGCTCAGCTCAGGTATTGTTGATTTCACACTGCACCACCAAAATTAAAGAAAGCCTTTGAAAATGAAAATTCAAATTATATATTCAGAAAGTTCATCTTCACATGGGAAACAAATCACCACAACACTGTGATACTTCCACCCACAAAAGCATACATTTTCTGTCTTTAAAGAAAATAGGTGCATGACTGAGAATCTTAAATACTTCAACTGGTTGCTTCTGCCTAAATAGAACTTTGTGACACAGAAAATTTCATAAATCCCAGAGGAAAAAAATAAGCTTAGTTTTTACAGTAGGGCATTCTGAAATGTTATACAGTAAAGCATTGTCCCTATGTAAACAAAATAAAGTTAAATTTAGCACTTCTAAGCCACCTGCGGGCAGCTCTAATCTTGTCTTTCTTGCTGCAAAATAACATTTGGACACTGGAAGTAAAGAAGCCCAATATCTGAGATCACTAAACTAATGCCAGACAGAAACTGATTTACAATCTGTTCACATAAATCCAGTGTCACAAAGCTGTCACGCCCTAATAGGGTAGCTACCAGCAGTTCAGAAACAACCCAACCTCATTTTTTAATATAATTTATACCATGCAAAAATGTACCATCCTGTCAGAGTAGAGAATACCAGAACAGAAGTGCTACTTTAAAAAAGTACAAAACCCCTGATATAGCACACACCAGATCATAATACCAATGTCACAGTAAAAAGCCTCAGTGTTCCACCTTCAGAGGTATCTACAAAGTATCCCTGCCATATGAAATGAAGGGAGCATGAAGAAGTTGGAGAGCTATTCAAAGCGATCCCTTAGAAGAGAAAGAAACATTTGTGCACAAAGGGAAATTGTACTGGTCCTGGTATCTTGCTGGCAAATGAACATTCAGTCATAAATGTAATCATCTTTAACTGTACTGAGTGTCTTCATTCTCCAGCTCAGGTTGCAGAATCCACATTGCTCTTTCTGCAGCAAGAACTCTGACCGCAGAACCCAAATCTGAGCCACATTTCATTTTACTGGATCAAAGGCTTAGTTACCAGGAGCAGAAAGAACACCAACATGAGATTTTCTGCGATCAGTGTTTCACATCTGAACCCCAGGGAGTCACGTCCCTTCCTACGATCTGCTGCTGAGTTTGTGCACAACATAACATCAGCGCTGAGGCTAAACAGGTCATGTTTCCAAATGCATCATCCTAGATTCTCACTAACTTCAGGAGAGAGAGCAAAACGTTACTCCTGGCATCCATCACATTGCAAAACATGACAGAATATTCATCCCTCACTGTGTTTGATATATTTTCTACATTCAAAAAGTTTTTTCTCATAATGTGACAAAGCTCATGCTGTTTAATAGCCCTACTCCATTCTAAACTGCTATGTAAAAGCTCTATGCACTAGACAAGCACCTTAATAGCACCAAACAGTTCATAAAAATATTGGCTTTCTCTGTGGAGAATTATTAAGGTTTCAAACTTCCTCCAACTTCTGGAGCGTTGGATACCATACAGGAATTGTGTGATAAATTCACAAAGACAAAAGGGAATTCTCACTGTAGCAACACAATGTAACTAGCCTTACACTTGTTCGGTTGACGTTCCCTACAAACATCAGTCACTGCAAAAAAAAAGAAGTGTAAAAAAATGCACAGGTAAAATCCAGCATAAGGCTACCTTCTACCACCACTTTCAACATCTTATAATTTTACTGAGAAAAAATATGTAAAATTATGACTAACCATTTCTGAACATTTTTTATTAATTATCAAGTTAGAAGTATGTGAAACATGTTTGAAAGTCTAGAATGCAAAAAAATTCTTCCAATGGAAAAGTTTCCTAGCAAAGTGCCTATATAACTAAACTTCTGATGGTACACAAATTTTGAAAAAGAAGTTTTGAGTCCACACCAGGACAGTTATAGAAATTTACCAGCTAAAAAGTGACATACCAATTTTAAATTCATTAACAATATAGGCTTCAGCAGAGACAGATCATGGTTTCCATCAAATCTCACAAAATCAAATCCTAATTATTTTGAGGACATTAAAATAACTTGTATTCAATTACACAGAAACAACTTAATATACCTGTAATTGGTATCTTTGGGTTTTCAGGTAGCTTTCCTGGATCAGCTACTGAGGCTCTTAGTAATGAAGCTATACAAAACAATGAGCAGAAGTAATAACCTGAAAAGATAAAACAGCATTTGTTAGTCTTTTTCAGGTGTACAAAATATCTACCATACACTGCATCAAAAATATAGATGCTCCAGAACTGAGTTGGAAACTACTCAGCCTTCTCTTTCAATTCCAGATACATTTTTGGTACTACACAGTCTACAATATTAAGTAATCCTCAGACTTAAATTAAAAGGGTGAGGAAAAGGTAGCAGTGAACATTGTTTTGATAGCACCAGCAGGATGCCACTATGGCCTTACTGCTGTATTTAAGAAGTTCCTCCACTGTCTTATCAAATAAGCACCAATCATTCTACACCTCCAAGCCTCTACGTGAAAGGACATTCCCAATAGATCATCTTCACTCTAAAGCTGGTTCCAGTAAAAATTCAAGCCTTTTCCCAAGCACAACCTATTAGCATAACTCATATTAGCTGACTCGTCAAGGGATGTATGACAAAACAAACAAAACTTGGTTTGTCAACCATCAGTATTACCACCTCAAATTCTGACAAGTACTAAGTGCTGTGGGCCTGAAATTCTGTCAACAAGTTCTAGCTACAGGATCCAAAAGCCATATTAATGCTTTTCCCCAGCTTCCACACAAACAAATTTTACCACAACATCTTTGAAATGAATGAAGTGTCTCAACTTCTCAGAACACAAAAATGTAGGACGTGTGCCAGTACTCTTAGCCTTTATCCTTCACCTTATTATTTTCTGACCTTTCTCATATATGTTAACTACTGCCCAAAGATACTATTTTTACTAGTAGATAGAAGGGCTAAGTTAAAATGACTTACACAAAATTGCCACAACTGAAATATGTCCCTCTTCATAGTGAGGAAAAAGGATGACTTTTGGAATGAAGATTGTATTGTACAGCCAGACAAAGATAATCAGACCCATGCAGCACCAACCCTGAGGGTCAACCACGAAGTGAATTTGTCGTCCCATTGAACACAAACAGGTGATAATCTGTCACCACTCAGAAGAAAATATTATCCTAGAGAGATAAATAAAAAAATAAATAAGAGAGTAAATTCACTGGTATCATGCAACCTACAGGGTTCCACATACGTCCAAACAGGAAAAAAAAAACCAAAACTGTCAGCTATTGATTTAATGAATTAAATGAAAACTTACAGACATTTAACAAATGCTGTTCAAGTACCAGGAGCAGAAACATTTAATGATTTCATTAATTAGTTACATTTCACTAAAAAGTAACATTTATGATCAAGATGCAAGTAAAACACGTATCTGGGAAAACTATTAAGTAATAGGTACAGCAAACAACTGTCAGTCACCTGACAGAAGCAAAGGATACAAACATTAAAGAAAAGAAGTCTCCCATCAAAATAAAAAGATTGCAAAGCAAACAAGGAATACAGGGAATGATTTCTGTTATACAAGGATTCATCCCACCTACCTATCGTAGTCTCCCAACTATATTTCAAGATTATTTTTTTAAAGCTTGTATGCTAAAATAGTCACAAGCTTCCCTAAGAATTTGTCATTGTTCCCTGCTTGAAAAAACCTCCTTCGTGGCATTTATAGCAAACCAATAAAGGAACCACACTACCACATCTTTCATGTAGATCATTACAAAGTATCATACAATACTAAGTTTTCTCACTATTAATCACACTTAAAACATCAAGGTTTCCATTCTGATAGTTTAGTGTGCTGGGTTCTTTCTTATTTTAGACTGAAGAAACCCCACAAAGTCTTACAGAATGAACATCAAAGCTTCATAAACTGATTTTCACAAAAACACAGCACTAAGCTCTAAGCACTACTCAGCAGAACCTGCAAGGGAAGGATTACTATGGTTACTTTTTTTGTCAGGCTGTCTTCATGGAGGTTTGTGTTGCAACACACACATAAGCCCCAAGCTACTCTCCTACCCATTAGCCCCCCTGATTTCTGGGCTTCAGGGAACTTGCTCATTTCAGACAGATTTCCTTCCATTCCATTCACCTTCTACTGGTTGCATTGAAATTTCATCTTGTTTATCAGTTGGACATCTCTGTTTCCAGGGTTTTTGCTTACTTGTTTCATGCTTGTCGGTCCTCACTTGGATTCACCATTTTGCTGCTCAATAGTATCCACAAATTTCGTTAATGTCTTATTTTCTTTTTTCTAGATCTCCAATCAAAATCAGACCCAAATAAGACATCTGACATTTTTCCACACTTCTTCTATGCACTATTTATCATAATGCTTTGTTTGATGACTTCTAGTGCAACAGTATGTCCATTTAAGTGTGGCAGAATATTAAATGCTTATGTTTATGCTACAAACGCACCAAATTTGCTAACACTTGTTTTACAAACCCATGTTGCATACTGAATACAGCTGCTGTGCCCTTAAAACTGTAAATTCATGATAATCATAAAAACTATTTAGGCCTGTATTTACTGTTCTTTTTAAATTTTACATATTTTAATATGCACCATAGTCTGTTGTATACATGGTATTAATAAACTACACAAGTATGTACAGCCTCTAGAAATATAAATGATGCAGTATTATACTCCTGAATCTGCCAGTTCTTAATGTGCCTCTGCTGTAAGCTAGTTTTGGCAACCAGCAGTTTTAGAACCAAAAAACATGTTATACCCTTCTATGCATACACTGATGGAGGATCTGTCCCATCAAGCAGAGAAGCTGTGGGAGGAGATGAGCAGACTATACAACATCAGGGATGCTGAAAATGAGATGGACCGGATCCCCTCCAAGACACTGCAGCTACAGGAACTCCCACTGCACCGAGGAGACGCAGGCAGAGCTGTCAGGCTGGGCATGGAGATGCCAAATCTGGGGAGGCCTGCGAGTTTGTGAGTTTCGGCACCAGGAGGACAGTTCCTCCTTGCAGTTCTGACCTACAGAGCAGATTCTGCCCTAACAGCAGGCAAAGACAGGGAGCTCTGTCCAATGAAGCCTCCAAGCTGGCTGTGCCTGCATCCTGTGGCAGTGCGAGCAGGGACGGGGCAAGGCACAGTGGTGGGAAACTTTCTGCTGTGGGGACAGAGACACCTCTGCCAGGCCGACCTGTCACCTGGCAATGTTCGCTGCTTGCCAGGGGCTTGGATCCTGGAAACCATGGGGAGGCTATTACTGAGGCTGGTAGTAGTTTGGTCCTCAGACTATTACCCTCAGCTGCTCTTCCATATGAGAGCCACAGATATGGCCAGGGGAGACCAGCAGCATATCAAGTATGACAACATGGCTTGGAGTATGATGGCCAGGGCCTGGGGACCAGGTGGTGCCTCCTTCATCTTGCTGGTGAAGCAGAAGGACTCGAAGAGGAGTAGACAGACTCTGCAGACAAACAAGTGGTTGTGCAGCTTGTGTCAAAAGCTAGGGCTCAGCTGTTACATCCATAGGACCTTCTCTGAGGATCGAGAACTGCTGCACAGGCGGGTCTGGACCCACCTGACACTATGTGGGGTAAAAGTATCTTTGCCAACAGGCTGGTCAGTCTGCTAAGCGAAGACTTTGACTAGGAATGATGAGACAGAGAGGTGGTAAGCTACAATCGAGTAAGGAAGTGGTGGTCAGGGTTTGCAAGCAAAGCATGCAGGATGATGTGGATCATAGAGATATTTACGATCAATGAAACAGAGGTGAAGTGGGGCCACATCAAGTGTGTGCACATACGTGACACAGAAACACCACCTGGGTGTACTGGAAAGAGGTTAGGAAAGCCAAAGTCCACCTGGAGTTGAATCTGGTGAAGGATATGAGGACATCAAAAGGGAAGTCTTAAATCTGTACAGGTACACAAGCAGCGTAAGGAAGGCTAGGGGAAACGTGGGCCTGCTGATGAATGGGGTGAGGTACTTGGTGAAAGGATACAAAAAGGTCAAAGCACCTTCTTCACCTTGCTCTTTATGGGTAAGACCTGCTTTCTGGAATCCCAGGCCCCTGTAGACCAGCGCAAGAAAGACCTACTCTGAGTGAAGGAGGATCGGAGCAAGAAACCTTTAAACAATATGGACATAACACTTCCGTGGGACCTGATGAGATGCCACCATGAGTGTTGAGAGAGCTGGCCTTGTCATTGTGAGGCCACTCTCAAGTATGTTTAAAAGTTTCAAGCTGATGGGTAAGGTTCCAGAGAACTCAAGAAAGCAAATGGCAACCTTGTTTTCAAGGGCAAGAAGGAGGATCCAGGCAACTATAGACCTGTTAACCTCATCCTGATGCCTTCCAAAGTGGAGCAAATAAGCCTGGAAACTGTTTCCAAACACATGAAGAACAAGAAGGTGACTGGGAGTAGTCAGCATGGATTTAGGAAAGGGAAATCATGCAGACTGATGGAAACCCAGAGGCCAAAAGACACTGAGGCAGCTAGAAACACTGCTGACCACAGAGGAATTCGTCTGTTCCCCATCTTACCAGAGCAACAGAGATTCCACGACTTCACAGCGCTTCCTCAGAAGGGGAAATAAGAGCTCAACAAACAAAACAGAGAGAAATAAGTACTGAAATACTTATTTCTGTGTGACCAATAAGCAGTAAGAGAGATTCTGGAGAAAACACTAAGAATGCCTATAATGAAAATACATCCCAAATTTTTAGAACTCAGTGATCAACTTTTGCCTGCATGACATTATTCACTTTCATAATCAAAAAAAACAAACCAAACCAAACCAAAAACACACACACACACCCAAAACCATACCTTTGACGGCAAGTTCCACAATTAAGTTGGAACTATGCAAAAAAAGGCCCCATTCTCAAGGAAGGGAGATTTTTCATCATTGTCTTCTGCATCTTTTCTGAAAGAGACAGAAAAGAGTGTGATATTCAAACAATCATCATCACTGGTTTGCAAGGCAGCATGTAATAGACTACTTTCTGTTTTGTTCTTCATACCTCACCTCACTGAGCAGGGCTTCCTCTCAAGCTATTCACACAGATATCCAGATCCTTTGTCTCTCATGTCTGAACTGACATGCTGATTCTCACCAGCATTCGTTGAACTTCAGTTCTAGGTCATTTCACAATTTTAATATAGATTTAAAAGGATAGGGGTGTTCAGAGAAAGGTCTACATAAAACTGTACTACTGCCAGTGTACTTCAGTTACTTTAAATCGTGATACACTTGCTTCCTGCATGCCTGTTACAATGATAAACTACGTTTTTCATTATACTTTTGTCAGCAATACTGCATAAATAATGTTAACATATTGACTTCCTCCACCAAAGTGAGCTTTTTCCCCTCTCCTCCTTGGTTTATATACCATATATAAACATGTAAGGGCAGGGGGTGGCCGTGTAAAGAAAACCTAACAAAGGCACATTCTGATGATTAGGTAGAAAGTACTACATTCCAATTTAACTCACAGACAAGGTGAGTTTACAGTCTTCTCTTTTTAAACATACTTTAAAAAAACCCCTGTATTTACTCTTTCAAATACAATGTCAAAAGAAAGGAAGACTAATCTCAAATAATTCAGTTCTTTAGCATGCCTCATTTGTGATAAGAATAACTACAGTATGTAGAGGAAAAAAAGTCTATGAGCAGGTTTACAACAGAAGCATTGAAAGGAAACAATTAAGTGATTTATATCCGTATACACTCAGTATTCATACATGCAACGCCTAAAAATTTTCCAGCAAAATAATTTAGGATAAAATACACAATACTAACCTTGGAGGTTTTGTGGTTTTCTTTCCTCTTACTTTAATTTATAGCCATTTTTTTTTACATAAACATCTCAAACACAAAGCATTTGAAAGCAAACAGTACCTGCAGCTGTGAAAAGCTTCAGATTTACCAAAACATAACTGAGTCTTTCATACATGACCAAGAATTGTTCTTGCTTTTCCAAAAAATACTTTTACTATGGGATGCCTGGACAGCACTTTTTCCTAACCCTTTTGTTTCTGCCAGTTTAAATAATGGTATTATAAACTCAGTACGTGTTCACTACAGTCACCT